TTTAAAACTGCTTACGATGACCTTTAATTTAAAAAATGCTTCCTAACCTTCAGATTTTTCCATAAGAGCAACCTCCATTAATTGTTTCCTTGTTTCACATTAATTACTGTCCAAAAAAGTGTGAAACGATTTTCTGTTCGTTCATCAACGAAAATCATTCACGCTAGAGTCACAAAACGCTCCCTGAACGCGCCATATCCGCCGAGCATGCGCACTCATTCCGCCGCTGTACAGTATCGTTTTGTACCATATATTCAGTGCTTATGAAATATATCCTAATCATAACTCAATCAGGTAAAAGATATGAGTTCCGGAATGTTTAATTCCTTGACAGACCACCCTTGATTATCACTCAAAGCATTGGACTGATGAAAATGAGACAATTCTTGAACACTTCCTTCTCAAAGATCTGTCTTGGTATATAGATCGACCCACAGCTCAGGTTCATTGTCACCATCAAGCAGACCGACTCTATTTACTGTGTCGTGACTCCTGAAAGGCGATTATTGGTTTACAAGCATCTTTGTAGTATTACTGTGGTAAGGAAGGATTCAGTGCTGAACGCTTTTATAGGAGAAATGCTCAAGCAAGAATTTCATGGTCGCTGAAAATGAAGATGACTGCTTCTCATGCGATTCTAGAATCAAATTTGGTATTAACTGTTTTCCGAACGATAGTATCAAGTGTGGAAATTTTGCCTCAACAGATAATGGCGGAGCAAACATCAGAGCAATGGGCTTCATATAAATGCAGTGACTGAAAAGTGCTCAGATGCCTTTAAAGCTTGTACTATGAAAGCCATTTTCCACTGCAAAGAACAGTGTGCTCTCTCATGATGATTTGATTCCACCCATCTGCATTTATCTGATTCCACCTATATATAGCAATTGATCTTATCTTTTTCACCCCAAGCTAACTAACTGTCATGACGTCTATCAGACAAACACACAGGCATGAAAAGTCCTTCTGATTGTCTCTAGTATTAAGCCCACCCACTGATTTTACCTGTTCTCTCCACGGCATGCCCGTAGCTTGATTAGGCAAAAAGTAGTTTGCTTCCGTTACGAAAGAAAATAATATTCAACGAAGTAACCATGTTTAAGAAAAAAAAAAACCACTTTTCGTGACTCTTTCGCCTATTTATTTTCAGCAATTTCATAAATTCTTATCAAAATTTTAAAGGAGAATATTCCTTGAACAACGAAGAATTTCAGAAGCTCTTATCCTAACGCGCTCAACGTAAGCACAGTTTAATTCGATCCTTATTCGATCGCTCAACGGACTACACAGCTATTCAGGTCGTACTGAGTCTCAAATTCAAAGAGACACAGTGGAGTGCGCCTAGTTCACCCAGAATGTGGCCTTTCGAAGGGGTACTCCTATGACCAAAACAATTTCTGCAATGAAAATTTCGTTTGAGTCAGTTGAGTCAGGGCGTCCAACGATGAGCTGCCATTTGGATTCAAGAGGAATCCTCTTTCCGTGATAAACCTCCACATTTCGCTGAATGGCTGAAGCCACGTAGACGAAGGACTGCAAATGACATGTGTCGCTAACAAGTTTCAATATTCTGATAAGCGATAGCGGCTGGGTTCACTGGTCGCTCGACATAGAATTGTCTAACTAAGCAAACAAGTTCTTCATAATTTCCCTCCTCTTTTTCAACTGTTTCTGAAGGTACACCTTCTAAGTTTTCTTTGTTTTCGGTAGCAACATCACTATTTTTTCCTTCTTCATTCCTATGAACTTCGCTTTGTGTAAAATGCTTGCTTTCTTGGTCCCTGCAAAAGAATCGTGTTCCGCTGTAAGCTTATGTGTACAAAATTCTGGGAATCAACGTTGTAACCGCCTCCATCCTTTCCCTTTCAAGAATTATGTGAACGCAATGAGGCGAAAGAGTTAGCCTTTGAATTATTTTCGCAATCCTAATGAATATCATGATCTGTATACTCAATTTAGTTAATAAAACTGAAGGAAGAGAGAAAAAAGGATAAATGAACATCCATCAAGTATGGTGAATTTGAGGGACCAAGGAGCAGGAAGCAAGCCACCGCGGTACAAGCTAAACATAGCATAGTTAGGGGGAGAACTCAGGGGCTACGTTAGAGAATTGTCTAGGGAAGTCTGGGATGGGACTTTTATGGACGAAATACAGTAGTGGCTAATATAACTGTATAAATTCTCCATTTTACTCTAGATTAACTGAACAAAATTTTTCAACTTACGTTTTTTGTCCGCTGCAAAGAGATGCTCTGTGTAATTCTGCTTGATTGATATACTTGCCTTCATCAGTACCTGAAATGAAAAGCACATGTACACTACTAAATTAAAAAGCTTGACGTTTTCTGCAGTTGCTGTCTATTCGCAGTCTTGTCAGTTCTGGTTTAGGCAGAGACAGAAGTCTTCTCTAGGTTGTAATTCCGAATATTTTACCACACTCAAAGCTCTTATGTCTGAGGTTTTTTTATTCTCTTTGAAATTTGGTCTGGCTTTAAAGCCATTTTTTTCTTAATTCATGTGTTTAATTCTGATGTATTGGCAGCCAATTTTCCTAATCATTCTTCTGTGCAAAAATCACACTTTCACTAATTACATGTAAAGGCGAGAAGCGTTGAATATGTCGGGTATGTCAAATTTCGAGATCAAAACCGTAATGGTAATAAAAGTAGACTTGATTAATGACATCAATTCTAATTTCTTTGTGGTCCTCTGGCAAGAAATTGCGTTCTCTTTGTAGATTCCATTACCTTAACTATGAAAATCAGCACTTAAAATGAGAATTATTTGTGAGCAACCAATATATGCAGTTTCATTTTTGAATCATAATTTCAAGCTTGTCCATGATAATTATGGCATCTTCATTTTAAAAGTTTGTTGCAGGTTAAAGGGATAAAATACAACGAGACCTATGGATTAAATTGTTTTGGCACAAACATGAGGATTGAATACTGTTATTGGTCATGGGTGGGAAGCATAAGAGCTGCCTAATCTTGGATTCCAGTTTGAGTTGATATATAATCAAATCAGTTGTCTATTCCGTTTCGACATGAAGACTGCAAGCTTTTGATAAGACACAGTTCATTTGAACGAAATTTAATCGACATTTGAAATCTTAAAAGGCTTTTTACACATTAAAGAAGCCTATGTAAGATCAAACAGCTCGCTGCTTACACCATACGAGGGTAAGAATTTAATGCGAGTAAGCTTCTCGTCGAGTTGTTATCAAGTTATATAATGAGAAAAATGAAAGAGATTCTGTGAGGTTACGAAGGCTTATCTGAGGAAAGTTAGATTGCTTCTGAGACTGCAAGATGGCAAGGTTTGGAAATGAAGTATTTCTTAAGGGTTGAGTTCAAATCCGTACATAAATAGCCATAAAACAGAAGACAAAAGAGACGAGGAGGTGAACTAACACAGTTCGCGTTCCTTTGATTTGCATTGCGCGTAAATTTGATATACAGACTTGTTAAAATTTTCGCGAACGAAAGCTGAAATTACATTTAAAAACAGGCACAATTGCTCTCTAAGATCAAGTTTCGTTTTTAAGTATTTTGGAGGTGTATCGACACAGACTCAAGCAATATTTACTCAGTCTCAGACGGTGGTTGGCAAGTTTCCGCTTGTTTTCTTTAAAAATTATCGCTTGATCAAACACCCGCAATGTCTCTTTTTCACAAATTTCTTCCCTTGTGTCCCTATGCTAATTTATCCCCTACGCATTTGTATGTTAAATGGTTTTCATTCAAAGGATTCTCCTCGAGAAAAGACAATGGCGGAGAGTTCATCTGTAACATAACAGGTGGAACTGTCACCTATAGCTATACAGACGATTCTGGTTTAAAGAATTCGCTAGCTTTTTCACACGGAATAGCTGACGGAAACTGCAGAGATAAGAATGGTTACCTTCTAAAGATGGCGATTCAGAGGAGCGTGGAGTGATTTGTGTCAATAGTGGAGCGTTATCTGTGTTTTCCTGTGGTGATCTTTCACGACTAGAATTTCCATTCTCGGCAGTAAACTCGATATCTATCAATTTATTATACGCCGCTTCCACAGTTCCTCTGTTTTCAACCGGGCTCTCTTCGGCCATGCTGTCGCTGCAAGTAATTGCAACTCTTCTCAAGCTAAACAGCGGAAAAGAAAATTTCCACGGAATATACTTCAACAATATTCCAAATAATTATGCGGTTGCCCTAGAGTTTTGTCACAAACCACTCGATCTTTCGTCTCAAAATTCATTCGGCCGTTTCGAGTCAAGCCACAACAGCCATTTTCATTGGTCTAGATGAAATTGTCACGTTATGAATTATTCAAAAACGACAGGTGTTTAGGATTTTAGTCACTAAATTTGACATTTTTATCATCGAATAATTGCAAAACACATCAACCTCACAGCCTCGGTGCTCGGCAAGGTGCCATTCATATGAAATGAAACAAACACCGTGGTTACAGTTTCTCTCGAAGGACTCAAATGCATTTCATAAGAATCTGATATTTTGACAATGAAAACGCTCTACTAAAGCGGATATTTAATCCATTGATAGCTTTAGGTAACATGATATGGTAAATAGCATAAAAAATTCTGAAACACTTTGAATAATTTTTCAGCGGAAGCGTCTTAAGCCTAAATTTATGCCAAATTTCAAATGGTCTCTAAACTTTGAGAGCGAGACTTTATTTTATCAATAGATATTCTTAACACCACAATATGAAAATATCGAGGACTGTAAATTTATCTGTGGTCTTGCTACGTTTTTAACACGATGCATTTCCATCGATTGAAGGAATTTTTATACCAAGGCGCTAAGGCCATGGAAACAAACGGCTTCAACAAATATTCAAACAATTAATATGGATTTCATTATAAAATAAAACAGGATTGACGGAAAAAAATGTGAATTTAAACAAAGAAAAATAACTTTTAAAGAGAAACATATTATGAGGAAATTTATTCTCTTTTTGAAAACGTTTACTTCTGGGTATGCATGTGTATCTAAAATCACTGAGGAAACCTGGTGCAGAGTAATCAATTATCCCGCTGAGTGAGAGAGGTCTGAGTGCGACACGGTCAAACGTGGGCATGCGCTGCTGAACCAATTTTGGGCCAGGCGCATGCCAATTTCCAGCATAAAATCTTCAATGACAACCAGGACACGCGTAATTTCCAAATAAAAAGAAAGGACTAAATAATTCTCGGGCAGTAACTTTATCCAGTTACTATTGCTACGTTTTTAAAGCATGTGACTTATTAAATAGTGAGATTGTTTTTAACTCGTTGATTATAGCTTAATTCTGACAGGTATCGGGAGGTTTCGCCCCAGTTCAAGTTCACCACTACCGATTCATCTCCTTCATGATTAGTTCGTCTCATCAAATATAACAAATTCAGTTGCTCTCAGTCCAAATCCCTTAGTTGAAACGGTCCGAAATGATTTTGTATGTTTTCGCAATCTCTCTTAAAAGTACCTTCGCAAACATCTCTATGCCAGTAGATTAATGTTTTTTTAAGATGGCTTTCTTGTTAGTTTTTCCTCGCTGATACCATCAGGGAATCCACGGCAAGAAGATTTCTCTACTCCTCTCCAACTCGCTTTATGATTTAAGCCATAGATGACACTGTCTCCGAGTGGAGAGTTGTTGAATTGTCTTTATTCCCAATAAAAATCTCGATGAGTGACGAGTTAGGGCTTAGAGACGTTTAGGATGACATCTCTGCTTGGTCCCTGGCGGTGTCTTTGTCTGTAACGCCCTAAGATTTTCTGAACAGCACATATAAAATTTCGCATAACATTTCGCTAATTATTAAGCACGAAATGAAAAAAAAAAAAAAAAAAACGCGCCTTTCACCCTTAGCTAACCTCAAGAAAAGTTGCTCTCGATCTTGCTGCGCCTTTCTTGGCCAAGAGGTATGGACGGCCGCCGCTCGAGTAAAGAGTAAGCAAACTACACTTATGCTGTGTTAATGCCTAACTACCCAGTTAGCCTTGTGAGGGAAAGTTTGGCTTTGTGTGCTTTAGGAAAGATCAGTCACAAAATGACGTTAGGGATTGTGCAATGATAGACAAAAAGCTCACTCACTTGTACGCTAAAAAAAAAGAACGAAAAAACCCAGCCCTGACAGAGAGAGCAGTTTTGGTGCTACCAAATGCAAATTTGAATTGATCGGCAAAGACGCTCAAATTGTGATATATCATTTGGAACTGGTTGACCCAGTAGTAACAGGGACTAAGTTTGGAGGCTCCGACCGAATTCCTCATTTGTCTACATGGAATATTCAGTCGTTTATTCACCACTTCACGGGTTTATTTTGAACCAACACAGTAACCAGCTCCCAGTTAGCTCAGTTGGTAGAGCACTGCACCGGTATCGCAGAGGTCATGGGTTCAAATCCCGTACATGCAGGCCTGAGTTTTTTTCAGGCCTTCTTTTCACTACTGATTAAGTAGTGTTCATAACTGGGAAGATCGCTTTCATATTCACAGATGGAATATTGTTCACAAATGTGTTTGAATTCTTGGAGATTCACGTAAATAAGAGTAACCCCACCGTACCGTTGGGATTGAAATTGAATAGCATCAAGTGTGAAAAACATAGGTAAATATTATGAGAAATTTAAATTCCCTTTCGAGATTTGTCGTTTTATAATTTATTTCTCCTTTAGGTCTTCACAATATGAGATACTGACCAAGGAATCGTACTTGAGACGAACGTCTCAACCTGTGCTGTAATTTGTGTATAAAACATTAATTCCGGCTGTTCCAAGAGATTTATCAGTAAAGAATACTTAATCTATCTCCGACAGGCATTTTACTTTCAGTTACAGGATGCGTTGAACTGTGATAACGGGTGAAGATTTCGGCGACTCAATTTCTTCTTCCTTTGCGTTTCTTCGAGTCATGATTTTTCCTCTTATGGTCCTTGTGCTTCTTTTGTTCGCTTTTCTCTGACTTGTGACCTTTGTCGTAAGTTGCAGGTGCTGCAGGGGGAACCGCCGCTGGATACGGTGCAGGAGCTGGTGCTGGATAAGGGGCCGCTGCTGGAGCTGGATACGGGGCCGGTGCTGGTGCTGGATAAGGAGCCGGTGCTGGTGCTGGTGCTGGTGCTGGTGCTGGATAAGGGGCCGGTGCTGGTGCTGGTGCTGGATAAGGGGCCGGAACCGGTGCTGGTGCTGGATAAGGGGCCGGAGCTGGTGCTGGTGTTGGATTAGGGGCCGGACTTGGTGTTGGATAAGGGGCCGGGGCTGGTGATGGAGAGGGCTCTGGAGAAGGAGATGGAGCGGGCACTGGAGAAGGTTCTGGGGAGGGCACTGGTGTGGGTACTGGACTCGGCTGCAACAAAAATCCAGATTAACTATCCTTACTGCACGATGGAGGAAAGAGTTCCTCAAAGTTAAGGTGGCTATCGACTTCAAGGCTGATTTCACTGAACTGAACATTGCATACGTTTAGATACGTTCAAACACATTCAAAATGAACTGTCCTTATAGGATTCAATCATGTTGCTGGCTCGTTTAATTAACAATTGGCATTTTTAAATGCAGATGATAAATGCCACCATGGGCAGGCGAGGAATTTAAATAAACAGAGAAAAAAGAAAAAGGATTGGATTCAAATGTCGGCCTGAGATTTTTAAAGTTCATCTGACACGATTTAGCCCATTAGAATGCCTTAAACTGGAAACGAGGCAACCCAGAAATAGATCACTCAAGGGGCTTCTTGGAAAATCTGTTACAGTTTGCCTATATAAATTTACAAGTAATGCCCTTAGAGTGCTGCGGTCTTTACTTCTTTTGTAACTTAGTCAACAACTTACAGTCAACCAGTTGAGATTTCATCATTTCGTACTCTAATTTATTGGCTGGTTTTTAATATGTCGTCGGAATTTATTGTTTTAGTTCTGCCCTCCTACTGGTGTTTATTGTTTGCGTGCCATGTCCCTCCGCTACGCTACAAAATTTACTACAAAATTCTCCTATTACAACAGGTTTAAAGTTAAAAATCCTGAAAAAACAAATTAACTTGAACAAGATGACCTGAGCACATCGAAAAAAAATACCCTACCTGTGGTGCTGGTGTCGGATGAGGAGTTGGATATGGGTTAGGGTGGGGGTAAGGAGAGGGGTACGGAGATGGATAGGGATAGGGAGAGGGGTACGGAGATGGATAGGGATACGGGTACGGGTAAGGAGAAGGATATGGGCTCGGGTATCGCGCGGGATATGGGTACCCAGAAGGAATCGGATATTGTCCAGGCTGGAATTGATAGGGATGCAGAGCCTTTACGGGGTAGGGATATGGTTCGGGGGCTGGCCTGACTCCATGGTACTTCGTGCAACTATGAGGACATTCTCTCCTTATGTCAGAGTCTGTTTGACAGTAGCCATATTCTCCCCATATTGGGCAAACGGGATGTTTGTCCATTTTTCCAAACCCAGACTCTGAAAGGAAGAAGGTTAAACAGGTTTTAAGCTTCTTATTTCCTGGTTTTTAAAAGGTATTTGACGTATATCTTTCTTCAGTTTCTCTCCTTCGAGGTTCTAAAAAAAGCTCATTATAACTTTAAATCAAACATGGAATTATACAAGCCTGTGACTTTTCATTTGAGCTAATAATCCCAATCAATATACAAAAGCTTAATTGAACTCCCACCTTAAGAGTAGAAGTATAGTCGCATTACAAAGGCAATGTCAAACGTATGGGATAGATAACAAATCGCTACCCAAAAAAACTACTTCCTGCGCTGTGGAATAGAATATTGCCTGTAGTATTTGAAATTCAGCCTCACGAAAATGGAGTCGAAGAGTGATTTACCATACTTTATCACTTCCTTGGTTTTTTTTATCATGGGTGCCAGATTTTCCTACCTGGGCCGCAGAATTGGCAGGAAAGTTTACAGTTTTGCATCATGTAATCAGGAAGTAGCTGACATTCGCGTCTGCGGACCCCTACGTCACAATTTTCACCAAGATCCTCGCATTTCTCAGTGGTTCCTAACAAAGTATTATTAAAAAAAATGAAGACGTTATTGTTTTTTCTTGATTGATTAAAATATAACAAAGTATTTTTTAAAAAATGAAGAAGTTATTGTTTTTCTAAGTTTACATATTTGCATCATGTAATCAGGAAGTAGCTGACATTTGCGTCTGCGGACCCCTACGTCACAATTTTCATCAAGATCCTCGCATTTCTCAGTGGCTCCTAACAAAGTATTATTAAAAAAATGAAGAAGTTATTGTTTTTCTTAATTGATTAAAATATACCAGGCAAAAAACAACAAAGATAGTAAGTGAAGTTCTTTTTTCAAATACTCGTCTATTCATGGCTTTTTCCATAGCCCTGTTTTACTGATTCATTGCGAAATTCATCTGCTCATTCAATTTTACCAACACTGCTTCTCACAGAGTGGCAAAATATACTAATCTTGTCATAAACAAAGGTCGGCCCTTGAATAACTCGACGACAGTTCCTTACTCAGACTTGGATTACTTCTCTTCTACCCCCATGGTTAAAATGGTTTGGAATGATCAACCGCGAGTAATGGCACAGAAATGCAATTCAAATCACGTACCTCCTCTTTTTGCGCACAGGTGACAAGATAATGGGCAATCTCGCACCATATCATGAAAATCTTTTAGACATTCCGTAGAAGTCTTGCCTTTACAGTCAACTTCTGGGTTATCTTCACATTTTTTTATGTTATAAGCTACGAACAACAAAAACAGCAAAAAAACCTAAGCTGTTAGCACGGTTGTATAGCCCAGATATCACTGGTAGTCATTAAGGGTTTTTTTTTTTTTGATTCAATCCATCTATAGCGGATATCTGACTGAAGTTATGGCTTTGTTTATTTAGAGATTTTTGTTATTTTTTCTATTGTTATTTCTATCAGCTATTTGCATATTCCTTTATTTCTGTCCAGTTATTTTTATGTTGCAATCCGTGTTTCTGACACGTATACTAGTTAACTTAGTCAGTGATTATCAATGTTTACGTTTTTTTCTGAGAGCAGTATATCCTTTAATAGTATATATGACACACAGGTAAATAATGCATTTACCTCATGTTGATTGGCTAGGTAAGACTCGATCAGCAAGTACTTTTCATCTCCGAGCAGTCGAAGACGAAATCGAGCGTCAAGAGTTCACTTTCCGACAACTTTTCGGTACATTGACGCTAATTAAATAAGTATTTTGGGGGTTTCTATGTGGTATATACTATAGAAATTATTCACCTCAGGGTCAGTAAAATTGATGGATATTTGCCTCCACTTCGGTGGATGATTGTTTATTATGGCACAATCAAGATACTAGGCTTTTAAGTTTTACTTTTTCCGTGGTATAGGCAATTGATTTCTTTCCCTGTTTATTTTTTTCCAAAATAGACGTGACGTTCGCGGAAATTTCTGTTTTGAAGATTAGCCTTATAGTTCCCTACAGGCAAAGTAAGAGTGTAGTAAGACCCAGCCCCTATTTTTCAAGGAAAAATTGAGCTAACTGTATTTCATTTACCTTCTTTGTAAGGAATCGTAGACATCAAGTCAAGAATTTTCTGCCCCTCCTCATCTCTCTCATTAAGTGCATCTCCGCTTCCGGAATCACTTCCAGATCCAGAACCTGGCTCATCAGCGGAAGTAAATACACCCTTTTGTTCCTCGGTTCCTAGAAGAGTGTGTGATATTTATTTACAAATATTTACAAATTGACATAGTTTCCGCTTTTTTCCACTTCGGGATGAATTCTACATTTTGCAATTCTCTTTAGCTAGAAAATTATTGTAAGGAAGATCTTTGATTGCATGACCAAAACAAAGGTTTCTAAAGACTTTTGAGTGTCACAGGGAAATCTTTGTCATCCCAGTTAGTTAAGTCATGTTTCAATCATGCCATTACCTCATGAAAAAGTTTTTCGGCACCTCTTCCCAAATTTGTACCATTACTGTACAATCTGAAACGGTGAAGGGCATTGTCGAAACGTGCAGCAAAGTCCAATGTGTTATCATAGCCTTTTCCTTCAACGGAAGAGTTAGTTTGACCCACTTCAGGAAAACCTCTCCTATTTAAACAGTCGCCAAACTTCCCTGACCCAAATTAGCAACTTTGATAAAAAAAAAAAGTGAAAAGAAATCAAAAAAGCAATCCATTTGGTTTTGCTCCAAGAAATTTCGACGTTTAAAGATCTCTTTAAATTTTGACGGTAGAATCGATTCCTTCGACAGTTTATTACTGCCGCTGGATAGAAAATTGATACCTACCAAGGACAGAGGAGGCGACTATAAAGCCTATAATAAATAATGCGCACCAACCAAGACCGAACTTCATCTTCTATTTCGGCTCACTATCTGCAAACAAAGTATAGATTATTTGACAAAAATCCTGAAAAAATAATCCGTCACTGTCAGACAATGATTACAACTTCGGGTTGCGAGTTGTTACCTCGACAGATTGTTCCTTTCGTTTACAAATGTTATCAAACAACGGTTAGAATGGGTTTAGCATGATAACGATTGATTGTCAAGGTCGAGGCTCGTCTTATCTTTCGAACTGAGCCATGGGGTTAGGCGTGTAACATAAACCAAGGCCTTATTAGTTCTTGCCATCCAAATTCAATCATTTGTCTTGTTTGTTCTATCATGGATGCTCGGAAATGCTTGTTTTGGGGGTGATTTTACCAAAACACTGCCAACCAAAGTTGGATTCTTGCTTGCAGGCGATCAGAATCGGATAGTGACACAGATGCATGATAATTAATTAGCTTTTGATAATTAGTGAGCCACTCCTTCAGATGTCCTCATGTTGAAAATTTTCTCTCTAAGAGGCAAAGAAAGCTTTTGATTTATATATATATATATATATATATATATATATATAAATCATTCTTCAGGGGA